CTTTGCTTTTGCTGGACCTGGATGACCTGTCATAATGATGAAATATGAGTTTTGCTCTCTATCGGAAAATCCTGAAGGAGAATGTCTGCCCGTCAGTTTGTGACCTAAAGCTTAAGTGCAGTTGGGTTACGCAGGAGCACAATGATCTGAAGAACACAAGCATGTCCACCTCTAAATGGCTAAAAAGAAACAAATTAAGGTTTTGCAGTGACAGAGTCAAGGTCCTGACTTGAATACATTTGAGGTGCTGTGGCAAGACCTTAAATGGGCAGTTGATGCTCGAAACCCTTCAATGAAGCTGAATTAAAACTATTCTGCAAAGAAGAGAGGGCCAAAGTTCCTCGACAGCAATGTAAAATACTCATTGCACACAATTGATTGCAGTTATTACTGCCAAGGGTGGCACAACCAGTTGTTAGGTTTAGGGGGGCAATTACTTTTTCACATGGGTGATATAGGTTTTGAATAAATCTTTATCTTCAATAAATGGAATATCATTTAAATGCTGCATTTTATGTTTACTCATGTAGTCTTTATCTTATATTAAAATTTGTTGAATGATCTGAAACATTTAAATGTGACACATTAGCAAATATAGAAGAACTCGGGTGAGGGGCAAATACTTTTTCACAGCACTCTATTAGTTCATTGAGGACAGGGCTTTTTTTTACCATTTTGTATCTATTTTCTTGTTTGCAGATTTTTTTAATTTCCTCATAATTTGGTAATTTAATTAAAGTCTCAGTGACAGTGCCCCAAGTCTGGGCATCATGCCATCACTGTTGAAATATTGTAGTGTTTATAGTAACACCCACTTGGAGGTCATCTGAACTGGTTGACTCGCGTGTGTGAGTTGGAAAAGCTGCTGTGCATAATAACAGGTCCAGTGCTACATTTGGAGGACACTTACACCTACCGGCAACTTCATTAAGTACACCTAACTTTTTCTACACTTTTTGTCCATTTTATCAGCTCCACTTACCATATAGGAGCTCTTTGTAGTTCTGCAATTACAGACAGTAGTCCATCTATTTCTCTGCATACTTTGTTAGCCTGTTCTTCAATGGTCAGGACCTCCACAGGACCACCACAGAGCAGATATTATCTGTGTGGTGGATCATTATCAGCACTGCAGTGACACTGACGTGGTAGTGGCGTTTGTGTGTGTTGTGCTGGTATGAGTGAATAAGACACAGTAGTGCATCTGGAGTTTTAATACTGTGTTCACTCACTGGATGTAAAGTCAGAAACAGTTACTCATCTGCTGCACAGTTTGTGTTCCTCTAGTCCTTCATCAGTGGTCACAGGATACTGTTTTTTTTTACTTCTTTCAGTCCAGCAGTGACACTGAGGTGTTTGAAAAAACTCCAGCAGCACTGCTGTGTCTGATCCACTCGTACCAGTGCAACACACACTAACACACCACCATCATCTCAGTATCACTGCAGTGCTGAGTATGATCCACCACCCAAATAGTACCTGCACTGTGGTGGTCCTGTAAGGGTCCTGACCATTAAGGGACAGGGTGAAAATGGGAATAACAAAGTATGAGAAACAGATGGACTACAGTCTAATTGTAGAACTACAAAGTGCTCCTATAAGGTAAGTAGAGCTGATATAATAGACAAAAAGTGTTAGTACAGGGAGGTGGACTTAATGAAGTTGCCACTCAGTGTATAATACCTCTCAGAGGTTGAAAATTATTACTTTTGTGTTGCTGTACTATTTCAATATAATTATGTAATTATATACAGTATTGTGCAAATGTCAGATACCAACCTTTATTCATTTAATTTCCAGTCAAAACTGCCAGTAATTTTTTAGAACGGTGTTTCTGAGATGAGTAGATATAAGATAATCCTCTTGCTGCATAAGGAAAGGGAACATAAAAGGAAAATAACAACTGTGCAAGGCCTGATAGACCACCAGGACTGTCACCAACAGACCAGCCGAGAAACATTTAGAACTGTATTTCTGGGAAACAGTACTTTCATCTTTGACAGAGAGGAGAAAATCAGGCTCCACTCTTGCTTCCGATCTGAAAACATCCACAGGTGTTTCTGTCCATCTTCCTACTGTAAGAAGACAATTCAATGCTATGAGTGTGAAGGGACGCCATAATTGAGAAAAGAAAAAAGATCAGAAAGAACATTTTCATTAGAACACTGACATGACATCTGAGATGCGGAGTAAGGTTTTATGGACTGATTAGGCTAAATTTGTAATTGGGATTATTTGGATTGTGAAAAGCAGAAAGTTTAGAATCCACACTTTTAGCATAATTTCTCTGTTTGTTTTAAGGAACTATGAGATGATTGGAAAAATTAATATTGAATGACACCATGCTTATGTTATCACTAGCGATAACTGCAACTTGTACAGCCTTTAAAAGTGATCAAAGTTTAAACATGTGAACAACAGTGAGTCAGCATTCCATGAAAGTTGTCTGATGAAATCCCAGCAACTTAAGCTTGGGTGACTCACCATCCTATGAGATAACCCTGGCTTTTACAAATGAAAATGTACAGCATATCTGCCAAATACAGTATAGTTGACAAGGGACACTTTGAACAAAGTGTGGATATTTAAATTGTTCTGGCTGATTCATCTTTATTGTCTTAAACATGTGAAATAGCTTTTTTCTCATTCTGTCTTGCCACTTTGGTTGAAAACAAAGCCTTGAGATAGCTCCTGGTACACAAGCTAATGACTGAAGAGGTTGAGCAGAATGAAAGGCTGCCACATCTGCTTTGCCTCTAAGCTAATTTCACATCTCCCATCATTTCACTGTCATAAAGTGATGCTGTAATGCGTCTCAAATGGAATCTGAAAGCAGGTCAGATGATGACAGTAGAGATGAATGGATTGTTATGCATCAGCCCTTTACTCATGTGAAATTAGGGCTGGGCAGTGTGAACATATATCGTTATCGTGATAATTTATGTTGCAGTGAAAAGCAGTATGCTCTTATGAACATACCATATCACCAGTACTTGTAGAACACTCAGCAAATGCATGTTTCATGGTAAAGAGAGCAAAATTAGTTCTGTTTAAAGCAAAACAGTGTGCCAAATATTGAGTTCCAACTCATCAGAAAAAATAAATATTGTGGCGTATCATGTATTGTGAAAATGTCCTGAAGTATCACTATATTTTGTTTTTGCCATATCTCCCATCTCTATGTGAAACTTTGAAATACAGTGATGTTTTAGGGACATGGGGATATATAGTTACACCTTTCTACCAAATTTAGCTTTGTAATAATTCAAGGAGTAGTATCTTTGAGTTTTTATGAGATGATGGAGAGATGAAAGAAAGGTTAGCTGGGTTAGATAAGAGTTCTCTCAGTATGAAATGCACTCGTGTTCTAGGTCAGCCTCTTCATCTTTCTCTAAAATTTGTTGGTTGTAGCTTGAAATTTCAGAGAGAAGTGAAATCAATAGGTGTCTTTGGAACGATGGAGAGAGGAAAGAAAGGGTTTGAACATACAATGAATATGAAATGCAGTCACGTGCTTTAGATGAATACCTAAATCTTTCTAGAAGATTTAATAATTGTAAAAAAAAAAATAGTTGTCAAAAAAACAGCTAAAAAAACTCAATAAGTAATCGATTCAATTGAATAATTGATTGATTAGGTTTTAATGCAATGATAGAGGGATGAAGGAAAGGATAACATGGTTAGCTAAACAAGTACTATGTAGTACTATCATTACATATGCCGTTGAGCCTTTTATTGAGTTAGATGGCTTTAGTTTTAAAACAGAGTTTTTATTTCTGTAGGTTTCTATAGGATGGTAGAAGGATGAAAAAATACATGACTGAAAACAAGTGGAGAAAAGCAAATGGGTATATACATAGGTGGTCATAGTTGGCCCTCTTTGTCCACATTGCTCCATATTAGAAGGATATGCTATAGACACTGAACAAGATCATTTTCCACATGCAAAAAAATTTATAGTAGAGGTGGATAATTTGCTTGTAACTCTTCCAGCTAATGAATAAGCTGCACTTATTTGTCAGTCCTGCATATGGAATTCTCCCATTAGGTTGACGGATGTTTGTATGAGAATACTTGGAGCCCTCAATTGACTTAACCCTTTGAAGATGAAGCTGTTATGTAGAAACTGTAAATGGAAATTCTTTCTTGTCTAGATCGTCTCATACAAGTTTAATAGCCGGTAGTTTGAAACATGGTATTGCCTTTTGCGCTGCTGGAGTGCTACAGGCTCCAGAGGCTTTTGTGCTAGTAGTAAAACTGCATCAGCAATGGGTGAATTTAATGTCACATAAGCCATTACCACTTAAATGTACCTAATCATGGTAGATGTCAAGGTTTGCCAAAGGGCAACAAAAGTAGTTGCCTGAAATGTCAGCGAAAAATAGACTGTTAGAGCATCACATTTTTGACACGTTGTCGGTAAACTACAAGTTTACTTTATTGAGAAGAAGAATAATTTCATGCTACGTGTTTACTTCGTGACGTTTTAGCTGTTTCGTGATCAGGACACTGAAAACCTTTTTTTAAAGTAAATCTGCAGCTGTTTAAACTATCTTAATGAACTGGTTTAGTCATTATGCTTGCAGCCTACTGTAGATCCTTTAGCTGTGCTAACCTCATTCTGCATTCCTCAATCAGCCTAATGTAGAAACACTGATACTAGAACAGTCTCAGCAACCAAAACATATTTTCTCTTTTCTTCCTGAATTGAATGGAGAAGTGTAGTTGACATGTCATCACTCCTATACATTTATAGTTATGCCCACAGGAGAGTTAGTAAAGATTGGGACATTTTGCAGGCAAATGCTTAATGGGCCTGAGTGTTATCCCCTTGAGATAATGGGTGAGATATTCATAGTAATATACCTGCAGTATAGGTCTCTCTAGGTCTAAGGTCTCTCTCTCAGTCTAGGTCTCATTCTTCTTTTACTAATGGCAGTGCTGTGTTAATGCTGTTATTTACTAAGGCAGAAAGGTAAATCTCTTCTTTGTTCTTACAGGGGATCTTCCCAGCCAATTATGTTTACCTGAGGAAGGCTGTGGTCACCAACAGAGGGTAAGTGCATTTAAATTGAATTATGTGAGGCTGCCTCAGTGAGGAATAATGCAAGAGTCTAGAGAAGTGTGACAGAGAAGGAAAGATTCCAAAAGAGAGTCATCTTGAGATTACCATGTTATTTATTCATTTGTCTTTTTCTTATTACTGACTCTATCCACTCTCGTTGCACCCTTGGGCATCCCTTTATTTCTGATTGATTGGGATACAGTCTTTTGGAACTGTCAACAGTTCCTTTTTTTTTTAGCTCGATCAGGATTTACTAGCTTCTGGCACTGAGCTTGATGTCAGCTCTCTACATGCACAGGGCGATTTGGGACAAAATTTACGGTGTATCAGGCATTCGAGGCTTGAATTTTGTAGGCGACATCTGCAAATCATAAAAATAATCTATGAATGACTTATTTCTAATATAAATGATAGTGACAGCTCTACAATAAATACACAGGGGACTATGGATGCCAAGATTTGCAATGCAAGGTAGGTAAGAAACACATGTAAGACTTTGTAAAGAGCAGGAGCTGCCTGGGGACCCATTAGCCCAGCAACATGCAGCATGTGTTTGTGATCCTAAATAGGCAGTGTGAGACTGAAGCTGTACAAGACTACACAATATGGACAGATTTTACATTGCAGTGTTAATGCCAAATATTGTGATTGTACTATGACATGCAATATCACAAAAAAATGGATTCACACATACAAGTCGAGCAGCAGCAAAATTAAGCAAATAATAAATGAATAATTCTTCAAATAAATGTTACATAATAATCACTATGATACATAAATAAAATGTAAATAAAATAGCAAATAAAAATGCAAAAATAATAATAGGGTAGTAGAACTATAATTAAACCTCCCTAAACTTTTTTGTTTTAAAATAAAAATATAGTGTACTCAAATCTGTTCTTTGAAGTGGTGATAAAAAAACTAAATAACTAAATGAATAAATGAACTAGAAAATAGTTAAATCACATGTATGCTCTCTTCATGCAGAGCTCTTTGGTGTTGTTGTCAAGACTTACACAGCACTTCTTTCTGTTTAGTGCTGCCTGAAGCCAAATGAACTCCAAGTATGAGATGATTTCTAAATCTACCACAACATCAATGATTTTGACTTGCTCTCCATGCAGACCTCACAACTTCTTAGCGCTGCTAGCCCTGAAATTCTAAATAAAAAGTATAGTTATGATTGGCTGGCATTGGCAAGCATATGTGTTGTCACAGTGTGAGGTGCACTGCTGGCTCAGTTTTCATCCTACTGTGGCCCTGAGCTTGAATCCCAACATGGCCTGGTTCCTCTCTACAACAGTGCTGGTCATACTCGCAAGCCTGTCAGCCTATATACACTCAATTGTAGAGACTGCACTCGGCTCCAAGATACAGGGGCTAGTTTCACATGTCTTGGAGGAAACACTAACAGAGGAGACACTCACACAGTAAATGTCCCAAAGTATCCGACACTGCTAATTAGTCAATTCAGCTGTTTTGCACTCATTGCTGACACAGCAATTCCTTCTTGTGTAGAGCCTTCCCAGAAGAGTAGTGGCTGTTGCTGCTTCAAAAGGGGAACAAACTCCCTATTAATACTCTTAATTTCAGAAGTTTTGGTTGAGCAGCCATCTACAGACTTTTGAACGTATTGTTTGTCTTCTGTATGAATAAAGAGATTCAAACAGCAAGTATGAATTTGTGATGATTAACATTGGAGAGAACCCTCATATTGCGATATCATTATGCACTGTATGTGACGTATCATTCTTCGCTAGAGTTGTAGCAGAAGAAGCTAGTGAGGATTAAAAGAGTCAAACTTGGAGGAGTCGAAACATTAAAAGGTGATTTAAAATGCAGTTATCACGCTGAGAATAAGCAATATTCTAGACCTCATTTGTAATGTTTTCTTTCTTATAAATGCACTAATTATATTTTATTCTGTGTAAATTATTTAGCGTGACTTCCTTTTTATTTACATTCACAAAACAGATTCCAATTCAAAGGCAATCACATAAAAATATGTTGATAAATGTCTTTAATATTCTTTTGTTATTGTATTCTTGGAATAAGTACTTTTTAATTAGACAAATCTCAAAGTATAAGTGCTTTCAAGCACCCAACCCACATGTACTCAAAAACACTCAATTGGTTTGATTAAACACTCATGTTTATTTGTTTAAATTGTTAATGGGCTAGATTTCAAAGCTGGGGGGGATATTTGTCAAGTTATACTTGTTAAGTTAGTTTTATTTGTTCTAAGAATACCTTATTTGAGATCAAGGCTGTTTATTCATTTTACTGATTAGTCAGTTTTTTAAAAATATTGTGGTTATGTTCATTACAGATACCTTAAATCATAAACTTTATACTAAAACTGACAAATATAGGAAAACATCAGACAGGAGGATATGGGAAATAAAACTGTGTGCAATGCAATTATTTAATTTGTGGCCCAGCCCTAGTAAATATAGTGATCTTTTTGAAAAAATTGCTGACCATAGCTTTGCTGTATTCACAGTCATAACAACTGGGACCATGTTGAGTTCTCGTCAGGGTTGGTTATTGTTTCCCTGTGAAATAATGTTTGTGTGCACTGCATTTGATGGAAAAAAGCAATACATGCTGCATGTTTCTGTGGCCATTTCATTTACTAGTAAAAAATGACATATTAGAAACACACTGTTTCTCTTCCAGCAGCACTACTATGATACCATCATGCCATCAACAGGTAGACATTTTTGGGCCAGAATGACTGAATACTCCCAGTGTTTTCTGCTTTTAGAAATAGTACCAGAGCTTGTGGTTTATTTCAGACTCTTACTGTCCCAGTTTTTGACTGCTTTTTAACAAATTCTCAATGGCTTGTTGACCTTTCTGCTTCTTAATCAGCTATTCTGTTTGACATTTATGCCATAAAAGACTCAGGTGAATTAATCTTTAGAAAAGGGTACATATAATTACAGGGTTTGTCAGACAGTTTGACTTTTTCCTAGTAGAATCATGAAGAAAAGTTCCTCTGAATAATTCAGTTTATTTAAAGCATAATGTGTGCAGTAATCTTCCTCTGCAAGTTTAATGCTTTATTTAACTTGCTAAATCAAACAGTATGAGACAACTGATTGAAGACAGTACATTCTAATTCTATAGGGTTGCTATAGAGGTTCTAGGGAGTACTGTGTACATATAGTATGACCTTCTGTATTAAATGATAGGTACAGTATACTTCACTGTATATTTGTAGGTTGGAACACATTGAACATTAATGTGTATTAGACCAGGCACTCATCCTACACTTCATTGCACTTGAACAAGGCACTTGGGATACAATATGCTATGTGCTCTGCATGCAGAAAAGACATTGTGTGTGTGTGTGTGTGTGTGTGTGTGTGTGTGTGTGCAAAGAGAGAAGAGGAAAACTCTAGGTTGCAACTCCCACAAGGAGCACACTTTCAAGAACATTAACATTTCATAGAAATCTGAACATCAGGAACTGTCAGTAACCAAGCCTTTGCTGTTTGTTTAAGTTTTTCATATCTTCTCCTTTCTTACAGGTGTGCGTAACTCTGTGTGGCACACTGACAAACACTTTTATTCACATATACACACACAAAAACACATACGCAATCCACATATTACATCCCCAAGAGTCTTGTTCAAGTGCAGTTTGATGTACTTGAGTGGTCTTTGTCATTTCTTTCTTGATTTTTTTCCTTCTTTGTAGTGCAGCCTATTTTAGGAAATAGCGATAAGGAAAATAAATGTGAATACAACAGCCTATGCAGCCCCCTCTAGGGACAAATGCATTGTGATATCAGGCGGACACAGATTCTCCTCTGTCACCAACTGAGCGATTGTAAAACAGTCGTTTACCTTCTTGATATTTACTCACATAAACTTGTGTAAAGCATTGATAGAGGAGAAATAGATCCATTTGTACTGACTTACCTGTTGGCTTTCTGTTATTGGTTATTAAGTCAATCTTTCATATCATATAAGAGGTCAATAAAGTGACCTCTGCTGTGATCCACAAAATTCATAATTTGATTGATACATGATACAATACAATCGTGTCTCAATTCAATAACAAAAAAGTGGCTGCAAATGCGCCTTATGGTAATATGTTTATGTTTTAATTTTCAGTTTATTAGCATATTCAGAGCTATATCAGTGCTTTCTAGTGTTTTAGAACACTCTAGCCACAAGCTAGTGTGCTAGCTCAAAGCTACCACACTTGCAATATGCTAACATGCTAGTCACAATACAGTATGATATGCTGCAGTATAATTTGTAACAGTAGGGTTACATCCCTACTGCTGGGCCTGCCAGGCAACTCTTACCACCCCAAAAACTCTAAAAGCACATACAAGGCTTAGCGTGCTGATCTGTTTCCTCAAGCTTGCATGTACTCATTCTCAAATGACCAGTTTTGAGGGGGACTGTTACTGTAATAGATATGTTAATGTATTATGAATGTTATTCCTATAATTGATGTTAATGATTATAATCATGTGATGGACATTCACAGATGTGCTCAAATGATCTGAGAGGGATTAACTGCACATGCTAATTCTCAAAGCGGAAAGTATTTTAGCGCTTCATCAAATACAGCATTAATACCTTATGGCAGATAAGGGAACAGCAGCACACCTGTTTCCAGTCAAACGTGGCGGTGTTTTGATGTACTGGCACATGAGTGTGGCATCCTTTAAGAAGCAAGGTGATAGTAATATGATATAAAGATAGACATGCCCTTTGATTTAATCTGATCAGTTTAGACTGACGTTTATCTTCTCTCATGGACAACATGGATTCAGCTGCCCCTCAGAAGTTTTCAGGTTTGGTTTGTGACTGTTGATGTCTGTGTGTCCTCGTGTGTGTGTGGCTTTTTGTGCAAGAGATTAATTCTCACATGTCAGGGTTGTATGCTTACAGGAGGAAAATTGCTTTAAAGAGTAACTACATCCTAGAGCCTGTTTTTTTCAACTAAAATATATTGCTTTGTATTAATAGGTGACGTTAGTCTTGTTGAAATTTAACACTTCTTTTTAAACTGTCAACATAACATCATTATTCCGTCTGTGCAGCTTGAACTCTGTGGTACAGCTCTGCTATAGGCACGCGTGATGATTGATCCCCCCCAACTGGGCAAGCACCTTACGCTATACCATCATCTACCCTACGCTATACTATATCAGTACTGAAGTGTGAATCTACGTCACAATATGAAAATCAGTGAAACCCCTGTTACTAATCCCTGATGACGATGCCCATCTGGCACTAAACAAATGAGTCTGAAAAATAAGGAGTGGGCTGTGAGAACACAGTTGTAAGTTAACCTAGTTGTCGTCTCTCTCCTATCAAATGGTAGTTAAGGGTAGCTATGTTAAGGAGAAAATGAGACAGAAAAAAACAAACAAAAAATCAGGAAAAAACAGGACTGTAGTATTTTTTTGCCTTTTTTTGCCTGTTCATATCAAAAATGTCCACCACAGGAATACTGCTTATTTTTGCTAGCCTGTCTAAGGGTTTTCAGTGTTATATTAGTAAATGTTCACTTTCTCACACCAAGTTCAATATTTAACCCTGCTTAAACTCAAAATGAGTTCAGATACCCCTATGCTCAGATAATCTCACTCGTTCTGTCCATTCCTCTCTGTTTTCATTCTGATAAGTTTCTCTATGTTTGTGTTTTTGTGCTGAGGACATAAGAAAGATTTGATAATAACCAAGAAACATTTTGTAAAGTCATTCATGCATTTCATCAGCATTATTGTGACTGTGTTAACAGCCAGTGAGGTTAAGATGATAGAGACTTTTACTAATTACTCTGTTTACTTTTTTTTTGCCTCGTAATGCTCACCCTTGTTTATCTCCCAAATGGTCCAAAGTATCCCTTTCATTGAGTTACCTGAAACTTTGTTTAACCACTGTGGGTAAATGTTTTTTTTTTGTGTCAGATGTAGAGGAGCTAATGAGCTAACGCTGCATGATGTGCCAGCAAGAAAACACTTATAACAGAAAAATATCTCTTTAGTTGTCCTAGCATCTGTCAGCTATAATAGTTAGTCCAACTAGAGATACAGCCACACAATCTCAGACTTTTCAATCACATCCTTGACAGTGTGTTCTTCACAGCATGGCATACTTGACTTGAAAAAATGATATCTGATTTTTTGTGAGTGAAAAGTCGCACACATACACTTAGTCCCTGGAAGCCCAATTAACTCTCGCTTCTGCAGGTATAAGTTTGAAAACTTGTGCAGATAAAGCAGGCTTGCTAAGACCAGTCAGTCTGCATTGCACACTCTGAAAAAGGACAAAAGTACAACGCTGTAGGGACAACAACAAAAGAAGCAGGAAAGGAAAATAGCTGCAAATGTTCACTGGGTCTTTGGTGTTGTTTTTGGACAGTTCCTCATACAGACTATAAATTGAATTTACCATCACTGGAAAAAAAAATCATAATGCTCTGATCCCCTATAATACATTTTCAGTGCATCACGTTGTGCCTAACACACTTTGCCCAAGGTAAAATCACTGTAACACATGGCCTTTCATGGCTTATTACTTTATTTATTTTTGAAGGGTGTGAAATGCATCAATGCGTAGTGGTTGCATTTCACTACTGTTTAAATACACTATATGTCCAAACGTTAGCAGATACCTGCTCATTCACTTTGTCTTCTGCTTTTACAAAATAGCTACTACATAAAAATAGTCTAAAATAATAAAGATTTTCAATGAGTAATTAAAGTTACAATTAATAATTATCTGAATAAACATTTTTCCAACAAGAAGTATTGTTGGTGTAGAATGTACTGTTGTTGAAATGCACCCATAGACCGCTGATGGAGGACAAGGACTTTCAGCCACCCATCATTGTATACTGCAATCATTTCATGAACCTTTTAACTGTTTGTCATGTAATCATTAACATATCGCAATATAGCATGTAATGCGGACATCTTCACCATATAAGCAGTTTTTGCTCACCAAATCTTCACCCCAACAATAATGCCAGTTTCCATTAGCGCCTATGTGTAATTTACTGTATTGTGTTAAATAACATAAGCTAGCTAACAAACGTTTTTCTACACTGGGTTTAATACTGCTTAAGGCAGATCTACCAAAAACATGGACATGTAAAAGCCTAACAGTCAGTCTTAATAGAGGAGAAGATTGACCTGCTTGCCGTTGTTTAGCCTGTTTAGCTATCTATTAGTCTAGTTGTTAAGAAGGTAAGTTGTCAGCCCCTCAGTTTCAACAAAACCTGGTTCTTCATTCATCAGTAGATTTGGACCATGCGAGCAGCATAACAGTCTATTGACTGTAGCTCTGTTTTATAATTAGAATTTGAGACTGTGTAGACTGTCTTTTCTCAGGGTAATAATCACATTTTTTTTAAATGGGACACTTTGCGCATTTATACCAGAGTAAACTTTTCACCAACAGTATATTTCTCCCCGTTTGATTCTGTGCTGTCTTTTTTCCCAGTAAATATGGATGGAATTATAATCAACTATAAATCCACACTCCAGTCTGCACAGCTCGAATGTTATCCAGCACTAATCTCTCTCTTTCTGTATATGTGTCTCATACAGGCAATACGAGACAGCGCTGCCCCTTGAAGACCCTGTCATAACTGAGGTCACCTCCACCCTGCAGGAATGGGCTGTGCTGTGGAAACAGCTGTATGTGGTGAGTGTTAGCCAGTCTGGTTTTCGTCCTCCATCTTGGCCCAGGCACAAGCACAGTTGCAGCCGCCACTGCAGTGCACATAGCCATTCAGCGACTGGATTAGCATGCTGCTGTTTTGTTGTGGGAATGAATTGAACTCTCTGTCTGTCCACAATAGGAATTTATCTCGGAATCGTTTCAGTGTCAGAAAATGCTTTTGGTGTTCGGTGACAGAATCCTTTCCTCGCCATTACCATTTCAACTTTTAATTGAATCAAGAATTCAGAGTTGCCTCATCTTATCATGTAACATCTCATTAAATAGTGCCAGGCTAAAGCATTTGGCACAAAGATAATTTTTCTGAGGTTAGAGCCTCATTATAAAACCCGCCTTATAAGCTAACCATTTTAAAGTCTTCTAAAATGATTTGGATAATTATCAGACAGGAGAGAGCATTGTGGGCTTTGTTGAAGATGTGAATAGCATGCCCTCTTCACAATAGAAAGAGTATGAGCTCTGACAGTGTGCTTTATGTAGGCCTCCACTGAGGATTATTAAGCATTAGTGTAAGTGATGACAATGACAATGACTCTCTCTCTCTCTCTGAGTCAGTCTCTTTCTCTCTGTCCCCCACCAAATTTCTCTCTCTCTGCTTCTCTCTTGCTCCCAGGCTTGGCCTGTGTGATGTAACCAGCTCTGTGTGGCTGTTTTATTCGGCCTTGGTTCAGTGCCATTTTGATGCTCCTGTATACAATATTGACACAGGCACTCTGAAGGAAGTGAGTCAGCATTTTTTAGTCTTAGAAAGGACACATATGCCCTTGCTGAGAGATAAAATTTTTGAAACATTATTCAGAGCTGGCTCCAGCACACATTAGGGTAGAAGTGGGCAATGTGACAAAAATGTGATATCACAATCGATATATGATAACGAATATACACAATCACAAAGTTTTTTTTTTGATATGTCTTTTTTCTGATATCTATTAAACTAGAAGTAGACAAAGAGTTTAAAAATTACAAATACAAAAATATATAATTAAAAAATATGACCAAAAACTATGAATACAATGATTTATATTGAATATTTCATTTTCTGCACTGCACTAAATCCAATAATACAGGACCAGTCATGCTCTCTTTGTAATCAAACATGCAGTTGGTCAGTGTTTTTTCATATTGACAATTACCACATTATACTCAGACAAACATATTGTGACATATTGTCAACTAATTAATCACAACAATGATAAGTATGGTCTTATTACCCAGCCCATAACTAGGACTGTCAAAATTCAACATTTGAATATTTGTCAAATATAAAGAAACAAAGAAAAAAAAAACACATTTCAATGTAAAAACGGCCATTTGAATGTTTCAAACTACCTTTGCTGCGGCTCCTAGTTTGTTCCAGACCAGTTAGTCACTATTATGAACTGCCAGACGGAAGAAATATTTGACCATTGTTGACCAACAGCATTTTTTCCTTTACCTACTATGAAGATGCTTATAAACATCTGACATAATTTTAGCAGCTCAGCAAGTCTGAACGAGACAATATGTTTACTTTATAAACCAAATAATTCTAAGGGGTAGGAAAATGTTCTTTTGTGAGGTAACCAAATGATCTGCTTCAGATGGCAGACTGTTCTGACAAGCCAACGATCCAAATGTGGATGCTTTGTAGAAAAGTTAGCTAATAATCATGTAATATCGATAAGGTAGGAAATTAAGCTGCCGGTTTATTTTTTTAAAAAGCAGTTTCTTTGTTTTACTAGTAGTAGCAGTAGCTCTGATTTACAAGATTTCTTGCAGTATATATCCTCTCCACTGACATAGCATCCCCAGTTGACCTTTTGTGCTGGATTTGTATTTTTTTTTGAGGTCATTGCCCTTTTAAATGCTTCATCAACCCAGTGTGTAACTTTCACAGTCACAAGACAAATGAAAAACTTGTCTTTCATCAGCAACCAGTGGCATCCTCCACTAAGATCAAAGGCAGTAATCACAGAAAATAACTAAAGTGTACGTCTTGTCATTGCTATTTTTCTATTTCAAGACCACTGCAGTGGCTTTTATTTACTGTAACATTTCCAGACATCTTTAATTCCTGAGACATGAGGACTGATAATAAGCTTCCTCGAGATGAGCAGGCTCTTAATTCAGCGAAAAGAAAATAATATCTGATTTGGAGGCTGGCTGAAGTAAGGATGACTAATTCTAAATGATCTGGATTGCGTAACGTAGCTAACAGAACATTTGAAGGGCTGCATTCAAAGTGATAGTGAGGATTTAGCTATGCTCTGTGGGCATAGCTGTGTGAAAAGCATGTGATCCAGAAGCAGGGCACCATTACTGTTGTGACTGACTATTTGATTATTGTACTTTTTGGCGCTTTTCATCTGTTTTTTGGCACTGTGCCCAGAGTCTTTTCCTCTTCCCTCAGAGCTTGTTGACAAATGTGGCATTAACAATGTATTTGGTTGATTAATGAGCAATGTTGTACAAATTTGCCGTTATACAATGTTTTTGTCACTTACACAGATAAAATTGAGCGTTGGTAAATGATCTGTTGCAGTGCAGAGTTGTAGTGACAGGTCATCAAATTTACACAGCTTTCCCATCACTTCAAATGTTAATCAGTCAAGACATTTTTGATTTTCGAATCTTTTTTCTTTAACTATGTACTGGAGCTTCGAGCCCAAAGGTAAAGCAGCAGTTGCAGTCATATTGAAGCTTGAATTATGTCTGTACTTTTGTCCAATTTTATAGGTAACAGTATATCATGTAGTGTCAGAAACCACATAAGCAAGTCTTCTTGAGATTACCTACCAACTTTGAGCCAAGTGTGTGATGATTTTTTTGCTAGTTGCATTAGCTGCATAGCTCCAGTGCAAAACTAAGATTGGCTTTACACGGTGAAGCTTCCTTGCAACTTTAGTTGCTGTGAACATACGTGCAACTCTAAGATTGACTGAAACTCAGCACCTGTGTAAACTTTATGGAACAACCATCATGAAACAGCCAAGCACCGATAACATACCCTACCAAAAAGATTAGTTCAAAAGATTGATTTCAGTTGACACATCAAGGACAAGAAAATTAAACAGAGGACCGAATATTGTATTTTGGAATAATGTTCCTCTTTTTATGATAACCAGTTAGTTTAATTACCTAGCTTAAGTACTTAGTTAGCTAACATTACTGTTTTGTTAACATAACTTTTTGAACGACTGTGTCAGAGTTAATCTGTTATATTGTGATCTACGTACATAGTATGTAGCCAGACTGCTACAATATATGAAAAATACAAGCTACTAGTGTTGCTAAGTAGTGGGATGATCGAATGTGTTGCCTGTTATTTGTGAGTATATTTTAAATGTTTTTTGTAGAATTGCCTAGTTGCACTGAAAATATGTCACATGCAACTAGCATCCTGCAACTTGTTTTAAAAATGTTTCACTAGAAAGCATAAAGAAGCAAACTTCGTCCATTAAATATGGCGTGGATTGGCTTTGACATTTAAAAGCCAGATTGATGATAATATTTATGGATGATTTATAGTGTTCTTTCACCGTATTAGCAGATGTTTGTCTTCACTTATAAAATCTAAAAAAGGATGTAATCAAATCTAAAAAAGTTCTCTCCAAAGCAATAGTTCCCCAACATAAATATGATGAGATCCTAACAGACTGAACTATTAATAACTACCCTGCTTTTGATATTGATAAGCAGTGGTGTTGTCTTCTGTCTTGTAATAATAGTTCCCTGCAGTGTTGACTTCAGCCTGGAGATGCCAGATTCATGCCCAGCTGGGCCCACGCCTCTGTTCATAGCAGCTGTGCCCCACTGGTTTCGGGATTCGGGATGACTGACAGGTTTCCAGATCGGTGCCTTTGTAAGACAGGGGTCAGGAAGCGGTCACACCGAAACTTTCAGTTGACCCTCACCCATTTTTAATGGATTGCCTTGAGTAATGAATTCAGGCTGGTAAAATGTGTCTTATAACAGAACTGATGTAAGTACACAAGAGCTTGTGCCATATGGTACACATGCATCTTTCATCGATTTTGAATGTTCAGACTTGCATGTAGTCAGCTGTGAATCCCTTGGAGTATTTTTGGCTTTGTGATCAGAAGCTGCCCATCTCTCAGATTGCTTGTTTGTTTACTCTATGCCCAGTGTAGTGGAGTGTATAAAAACGAGACACAAGACAAGTACATAAGAAATAAACATGTAAGAGAAGCTGCTGTTATGTCCTGGTTTAAAAAGTAGAATAGAACAACGTTCAAAAAGTCCTGGTAATATTGGCGTAGAATTGCAGTAATTTCTCATCTGGCTTTGAATTTTCGAAGTAACATCAGTAAAACTTGTGCCAGTTGATTTAGTGATTTATCTTTTTATTTTAGGCTCATGTCACTGAACATAGCCTACTTCCAACAGGCCTACAGAATGATAACTCAGAGTTGCACAATGAACACCAAATGATTTTTGTGTTTAAAATATTTTGTTAAGTAGCTCTACTTATATGTCAATATTTTGCTTGATAGTCTGTATGAGCTGCATTTGACCCAGACAGTCTCTGCAGTTATATGTCAAACCTTTTGTCAAAAAACTTCAAATATTACTAGATAATACACAGTTTATTTCATTTGTGATTCCAAACTACGTTTGCCTTATTTCAATACCCAGGTGAGTAAACAGATACTAAGATGAGGTCAAATATCCATGTGTTTGAATAACCACGACCATCCTTTCTAAGATATGGGATAAGATTTTATAGCTATAAAACCAAACATAACAACATCATGTGTGGTGCAGGTGCACCAGCTTATGCCCCATGGATCCATGTCTGTACACGAAGGTGGTGGCAGCACAGTGTACTGTAATTGGGATGCCTCTCCTCATCAGACCTCTTGTCACTACTAAAGAGCACCCAAGCAGATACAACAGGACAACATGTTTGCTGAAACATGGATAGTAAACAACTCAGCTTTTGGTAGGACAGTGAGTCCAAGCAG